GAGGAGAACCAGGATGGAGGCATGGCCTCGGTCTCTGGCTCTCCAGAGATCATCGGTCAATGCGACCAAAGCGGTTTCTGTGCTGTAACCGGGTCAAAATCAACATAGCTGCGTTATCAAGTATTGATAAAGAGTCTAAAAATAACTTCTTTTTGTCATTCATTCTACAAGTGTTAAAAATTACATAATTACACTAATTGGGACAACAGCCTTATCATAACTAAGCAAATATATTGACTTCCGAAATGAGATTAGAGTGATCCTTTGAGAACCTAATTCTCAATTCTGTGAATAAGGAAATCAGGCATTCAGCGGTTGAGTCCAAACGTTCACATATGAAGCCACTGATTAAAAACTCACCCCAACCACTAAACCAAAGAATGGGCGTATTTATGTTGATGGCCATATTTACACAGTTATATTTTAGTTTCTAAACTGGGAAATACCATTTCTGTGTCTTCACACATCCCCTTTGCACAAAATGCAGTTAAAGGAGGAAGTCTCTCTTTCGTTTCCTGTTTTATCAACTCCCTTTCAAACTTGGCCATGTTTTAAAAATCACAAGCTAAGGTTACTTTAATTTTGTGGTTTGTTCTGAATCTGGTAACCAGTTCATCAGCTTGATTAAAATGTGAAGCACGGAGGAGGAGCTGTGCCTTCACGTCACTGTTGATTCCTGAAACAGTCTTTGAAGTTTTCCTAGCAAAGTTTTCAGAAGTGGTTTCCCACTGCCTTCTTCCTGGAAACAATAATTAGAGATTTTTTAAGTCAAATAAGTATTTAGCAATTTTCAAAATATTGCTCGAAGAGGCTCTATATTTAGTCTATCAGCAACAGGCTCTAAACCAGGGGTCTCTGTTGAGGACTCGGAAAGTCCTCGACATACGACCAGGTAGCTAGCAACAGGCGATGCTGCGCCCCAGCCAATCAGGGCGTAGCCTGGCTTGTTGCTAGCTGCTAGAGGCGCCCTGATTGGTTAAGGCACAGCGTCATCAGTTGCCAGACAGCTGATGGGCGCCTATTGGTTATCCCTGCTTTGACAGCTCGTTTAAATAGCTGTCAAGCAGGGATGGTGCTGAATCGCCTGTAAATAGTTTCTTTGCAATAAACCTTTTGTTCTGCAGTCCTGGCTCTCGTCTCATCTCTTCCTTGATCCACTAAAGTCTCCAACCTTGGCAACTTTAAGCCTGGCGGACTTCAACTTCTAGAATTCCAAACCAGCCAGCTTTGAATTGGGCTAAAAGTTGCCAAGGTTGGAGACTCCTGCTCTAAACATTACATGTTCATACCAGGGGTGGGTTCTGGCAGGCGCTACTGCCGGTTCGCAAAAAACAAGATGGCGATGCCCATGGTGCCACCCGGATAATTGGCTTGGGGGCATGGCAGGCTGCCGGTTCCAGCGACCCAGACCCCCAAACCACTACCAGTTCAGCCAAACCAGTCCAGACTGGTAGGAACCCACCACTGTTCATACTGACAGTGATCTGAAATAAGATTATCCAGTACAGACATTTTCTCTGAGAGTGAATCTACTAACTTTAACAGGAAGCGAATAGTGATGAATCGTTCTAAGTTCTTTCTTCTCTTTTCTCTTGTAAATATATTATTTAGAGAAATATCAAGACTTTTTGTGCTTTATTTTTAAGATACATCGAGGAATAAAAGGATTTGTTAGAAATCTTCAGGGTAATCCCATTGATAATGCCACAGTTTCTGTAGAGGGGATAAACCATGATATTACATCAGGTAAGTTATTCATATGTACCACATTGAGTCGTTTGATGAATGCTGATACATGGATGAATATAGCAATATCCTTTTATATTTTCAGGTGGGGGGATAGGATGCAATCCGTACATATGATTTTGGAAAGCAAAGAATATATCAGTAGAAGAATAATTGCAAAAACAATCTTAGTCTTTCTTGCAACTGAGGAAAACTTCTAATGGCCAAAACGTTCTTTTTCATATGGATAGGCATCACCAAAAAGGAAAGCAGTGTTTCCATTAACGTGTGTGTGTGTGTGTGTGTGTGTGTTTGTGTGTGTGTGTTTAAAATTAACATTGGATCTAGAAAATAGCATTGTTAGACTTATCTAGAATGAGCCCATTTTCTTGTTTCATTCAGGATGAAATCTGAATCTCAGTTCAGAAATTCAAATCTATATGCCTCCATTTAACTATAACTGGAAGACCACAATTTAATAAAACTACTTGTAATGGACAAAATGTTCAGGATTAGTGGCCTCTTATGAAAATAGATGATACCTTTCAAATGTTGGCCAATGGGTGGAGAAAACTGTGCTGAATTCCTATATAAAAGAAACTGAAAAAAGGTTTTTACATTTTATTTCAGAACTGGATAAATTGGGATAAAGTTGCTTCCTCTCAGTCAATCAGATCTTCTATATTAAAATTGACATTTGCAAAATTGCAGTCCTTTCTGTTATCACCTGATTCTTAATCCAGGTGTCCGATTTACAGAAAAAAAGAAATATAAATCCTTGCATTATATTAAGACACACATGAGCAAAATTACTAATGCTCGCGAATGTCTGAAAATAATGGAAGATTTTATATTTTCATGCTTTAAGATGGGAAGAACAAAAATATACTGGGTTTTTTCTTCCCCTTTCCAAAATCACTCTTTTTGCACCTAGCCCCAGTTGCATCCTGAGATCCTAATTAGAAAACATATTTCAGTGCCACTTAAGCATGTTCCTAAAAGTTTTCAAAAAATAGCAGCATCTTTCTTCTTTCCTTAGCAAAGGATGGTGATTACTGGAGGCTGTTGGTACCTGGAAATTATAAAGTGACAGCTTCAGCACCTGGCTATCTAGCAATCACTAAAAAAGTGGCTGTTCCATTCAGTCCTGCTATTAGGGTAAGTGGTACCATTTTTGCATTTCACTTATAATACCCATTCCTATCTTAATGGGTTTTTTAATGTTTCGTACATCAAGTCTCATTGGAACTCTCTGAACTATTTTCAGTATTTCTTATGTGGAAGATAAAAAAACTGTCAGAAAGGAATAGAGAGAAAGGCAAGCAAAAAAATATAATACAGTGTAGGAAAGAATCAGTAGTGGTTTTACAGTGAATAAAAGAAAACTTGCTTTTATATTACAATGATTACGGTAAGCAGATGACAAAAGAAGAAAAATTCTAATCAAAAGAGAGACAAAGAAAGATCCATATAATATCCACAGACAGCAATATAAAACTAATTCAGTCCTTCAAATCTAGGCCAGATACAGTGGTGCTTAAAAATTTGTGAACCCATTTGAATTTTAAATATTTCTGCACAGGCATGAATGTGATAAATACGATTTGTTCTCCACACGATTCCTAAAACTAGATCAGTGGTGGGTTTCAAAAATTGTTTGAATCTACTCTGTGGGTGTGGCCTCCTTTGTGGGAGTGGCTTGCTGTCTGTGGATATTATATGGATCTTTCTTTGTCTCTCTTTTGA